CTTGAGCCCAGGAGTTGGAGGTTGCTGTGAGCTGTGATGCCATGGCACTCTACCCAGGGGGATAGCTTGAGGCTCCGTCTCAAAAAAAAAAAAAAAAAGACCAGACTGAGCACGTGCAAGACCCCAGCTCTAAAAAACTAGCTAGGCGTTGTGGTGGGTGCCTGTAGTCCCAGCTACTCAGGAGGCTGAGGCAAGAGGATCACTTGAGCCCAAGAGTTTGAAGTTGCTGTGAGCTGTGACACCACCGCATTCAAAGTGAGACTGTCTCAGAAAAAAAAAAAAAAAAGAAAGAAAGAAAGAAAGAAAAAAAACCAACCCTACTCAGCCTGTGAGTAAGGAGGACCCAGACGAGGGGCCTCGCAGCAGGCTGGGGAAAGTCCTAAGGGTGGCCCAGCACAGCTTAGGCAAGCAAGTGTGCCTTCACTCCAACCTTCTCTCGTACCTTCTAGGGGTCTAACCACAGTGTAGAAGAAAAACAGGGAAGGGCAGGGAAGAACGCGAGTCTAACTAGTGTGCTGGCTAGACGTTAGCATCTCCCTGCTACCAGGTTTGAGGAGGGAGAAGGTGGTACCCGTGGGCCCCTCTGCAACTGTGAACAAACGAGTGAAAGTCAGGTCATCATTCTTTCATTTTTAACAATTTTTCTCAGATTATTAAAGTTGAAACTATTAGATAAAATTAGACTTTTAGATCATATATGAACACACACATCTATTTCTTTTATATTAGGTAAGTTTTACATGGTGGTAATCTTAGGAATTAAGAATTGGAATTAAGTTTGACTTCTGACCTGTGGGATTCAGTTGATATCAGCCAAGCTCAGCAGTGGGATAGAAGGGGAAGTCCGCATGCACGACAGGAAATTAATCAAGCACAGTTGTACCCTTGTAAACAACTCTACACAACTGCAAATTAGCTTCTTGGAAAAGAAGATATGAAAAGGTATGAAAAAAATGCATGTAATATTCTTTACTGCTAATTTTAAGTAATTTTATATTCAGCAAATGTACAGCATGATCATGGTTCTGAGATATCTGTATCATAGATATATCAGCACAGAACATAGGAATTTAGGTCTACATACAAAAGTAGGTAGAAATTACTCCTGATGGTTTAATAATTCTGTGTATCTTCTCATAGTTAAAAATTTATTACAATGAATACTTTTATAACCACTAAAAGTGCATAAAAATTAATAGATGTTTTAAGGGTGGGTGCTTTTTAAAACATATACATCCACCCATCTGCCCCATCTCTGACCCTCACTGTGACTAAAAAAGCCAAACCCAAATACCCTTCCTCTCTTATAAACAGAAATGGAGAGGAGAGACTCGGCAAGCCAAGAGACTAAATTTAGCAGACAAATGTAAGTTACAGGTTCTCTCAAAAACAGTCCCTGAAATAGTTCTGGTCTTACGAAACTAAACTTTATAGGCTATTTATTACTCTGGGCTTCATTTTATGAGCTTCTAGTTCTATCAAATGGCCACAGGAATCACTTTTATTAAAAACAGCACCACAGTATGCCAGCTGATGCAATGTCTTGGCAGACAGCAACCTGTTTCCTGTATTTCTATGAAACACCTGACACAGGTAAATCGAATAACAAAGGTCAAAGTCTTCAGAAGCAGGTGCTTCACTTCAGAAGTCACAAACTGCATACGTTGGTTCTTGATACAAAAGGAGAAAAAAAGGTTTTTATAAGAAGCAAATACACCTTGAAGCCCTTCATTTGAAAGTACTTTATAAAATTATCCAATTCACTCAGCAAAGAGTTTTGATTTTACAGATGAGGACACAGAGGGAGTGCTCCGAAGTTTGATCTTTGTACTACAAACTAATCCTATTACACCAAAAAGTTCACCATTAAGTTGGTGGGAAACAAAGTCAAAAGATCCATTTCTTCCTTTTTTTCAAGTTTAAAAGATTTCTATTGTAATCACATTTTATAAAAATTTTAATATTTATATAGGACTGTCAAACTTGTATTCTTCTTTTTGGACTAAAATTTCAAAATAGTCTACATGTTTTTTTCAAACTGTCTTTTACTAAAGCAAAATGATGGTTTTCTTCTTGCATCTTCTGAATTAAACAGTATAAGCTTTACTTGTATATAACTCTACCAACCATATTCACAGAGAAAATCTGAGAAAGTTGGGCAACAAGAAGAGAGATAAATAAGACATTTGTAATTTGGAGACACACGATGTATATGTTACTTTAAAATATTACAACAACTTATGACGACTACTCTTTATTTTCCTCAGGAAAAAAAACCACTTTGAATTTGTATACTGTTTCATGTGGGGTTTAATTGCCTTAAATATAAAATTATGACTGTTCTCTATTCAGACACACACATGACATACAAATAGGTATATCACGTTATTAATAAATTATATGCATTGCTTTTTAAAAAACAGGTTCAAGATACCATTTTTCTCAGCATAAAATAAAGACTAATAAAAATAGGATTTGCTGGGGGCTGCTTTTTAACATAAGATAGCCGTAAAGCACAGCAGTTAACTGGTGCTATAAAGTGATTACTTGTATTTATCCCCCACCCCAAATGCATATGTTGAAATTCTAATCCCCAAAGTAATGACAGTAGGAGACAGGGACTTTGGGAGGTGATTAGGTAGTGAAAAAAGCCCTCATGAATGGGTTTAGTGCCCTTAAAAAGAGGCCCCAGAAAACTTCTTTGGCCCTCCCACCATGTGAGTACAATGAGAAAAAGGTCACCCAGGAGGAAGACAGAGAACCAGCCAGCACCTTGATCTTGGACTTCACAGCCTCAAGAAACTGTGAGAAAGAAACCCCTGCTATCTATAAGCCACTCAGGCTGTGTCATTTTGTTATAGCAGCCTGAACGGACTAAGACACATGTGCTCTGAAATCTCCAAGACTGGGTTAGAAATTACTCTCCTTTCTTCACTAATTTCTACCACTGTTACGGTCTTGAGTATGTTACTTAACATTTCAGCCTCTTGTTTCGTCCTCCTAAAATGAAAATAAATATCAACCTCACAGGGTTTTTAAAACATTCTTTCTACTTTTTACTTTGAAATAACCTTAGATTTACAGAAAAGTAGCTGTAATAGAAAACTGAGTCATACCCTTCACCTAGCTTTCTCCGTGTCAACAACTTAGACAAGGATGGTACAATTATCAAAGCCACACAGTTGTTACAGCACTATTAACTAAAAGACATTTTTTCTTTGAATTTCACCAGTTTTACATCCTATAGCCTTTCCTCTGTTCCCCAATATTTTAGTCCTGTGTCTCTTTCTTGTCCTCTCACAGGTGGCAGTTCCTCAATCTCTCCTCATCTTTCATAACCTTGACAGAATACCAGAAATGGTGATGTGTTCACCTCAGTGATGGTATCAAAGGGCACATGCTGTCCATCTGTTCTATTACTGCTAACACTGACCTTGAGCCCTTGCTTAACCTCAGAGAGCGGCTTCTGTCAGCTTGGTTCGGGAAGATTAAGTCTTCAATACATGGCAGCTATTACGATGGTAAAGTCCAGACTAAGAACAGACCTTTTGAAATCCGGTAGACTCGGGCTCCAATGTCCGCTCTCCAAGTTCCTGTCATGTGACCTTCTTCACGATGTTTATTTCCCTTGTCCTCTTTCCTTCACTGTACCATAAAAACAAAGCTACCTGAAAAGTTATGAAGTTGTTATAAAATTAGTATGGAGATTAAATAATACACTTAAAGCACTTAGTGCCTAGAATTTATTACCACTCCATGAAATCACTGTTATTACTTTTTAAGTGAGTTATTCTTTTTCTGCAAAATAAGCACTGTGAACTAAAATAAAGGAATCTGAGATTTGATAAGAAAGGTGCCTGGGGAATTCTGGGAGATGGAAGGACATCAGATGAGTGGGGAAGGCAGGGAGGGCCTCACTGTGGGAGTATCAACAGCATGTCTCTTTTTTTGTCCTTGGATAAACAGGTTTTGTGACTAGAGTCTGAGTAAACAAAATTCTAGCACATTGGTTTCTAGCACATTAACCACATAATGCAAGAACTGAACCCCTACTATATATTATGGAGGGTTCTCTCTCACAAAACCATTACCCTCTGCGTGCTGGGCTTGCTGGCGGGGAGTTTTAGGCTAAGACATCACAAACATCTCTGCAGCTGTTTCCGGAGTTAACACTGGAGTTTAGATTTATATAAAAGGGCAACTCTAGGATACCTAACATATGGTAGTTAAAACACATTGTTAAATAATTGTTCCTTTTAAAATATACATCTAACCTTGAAAGAATGAGAAAATCAACTTAAAACCAGCCTTACTAGTCTGAGAGGCAAGTCAAAAATTTAAACACTTCTCTACCAGACAACATAAAGAATTACAATATAAAGTGAGTTACTATACCACAGTCTTTGTGGATTCAACCTCCACTTTGGAAATACACATCATTATTTATAAACATGAAAGGACAAGATTTACTACACTGCAGGATTGCCTATCCTTTAGATGGTAGTTATAGCACAAAAGCATTAAAGCAGTTGAGATAATTAGAACATCAATGTGATACAACAGCCCTTCTATGGGATACTGTCATCACTAGCCACGCTCTCCAGCATCCATACCTTAAAGGCCAGGAAGTTAGCAGCCACTATGTTTGCTCAATGCCAAGCTGGAAACCTACATGCTACAAAGAAATGGTGTCTGTGTGTGTAGCTCTCCGCACAAACCATCTGGATGGGCAAGGCTTCATGCTCTGGCTCCCAGGCCAGGAAGAGGTCCAATGCCCCAGACGACTCCTAAATTACTCTGAAGAGCCCTGAATTTTCCCAGGCCTTAATTGCCTAGCAATTTATGCAGAGAATTGAACAGGGTCCAAGAGTCCAAGTTCTTTTTTCCGAAAGCCCTTGGCCCACCTATGGGACATTGGCCCCTTGCTTCTTTCCTTCCTATATTCCTCTTCACAGGGAGGAAAATGATAACAGCTGACATGTATAGTCCCAGAGTGATAACATTTGACCTATGTACAAGTCATACCTATGGACAGAGGCTATTATGGTAAATTCCGAGTTACAAACATCCAATTTACATGCAAGTCACACTTAGGAACAGAAACTATTACAGCAAGTCCCCACATTACAAACATCTGACTGATACACAACTCACACTTACAAATGGAGGCTACTACAGGTAACAGGTAAGTGTACCTGTTCCAACACATATAAATTCAACTTAAGAACAAACCTACAGAACCCATCTCTTTCATAACCCATAATCTGGTGGGTGCTAATACTAAACATCTACTATGACCTAAGCTCTTTTACAAGTACAAGCTCATTAAACACAAATCATTTCTACAGAAAGGGACAGAAATACCTATAGCCAGGTAAGGAACCTAGGTCTTGAGAAGTCAGGCACCCCATGGTTAAGTGAGGTGTCCGAGGTCACACCTCACTCCGAGGTCTGGAGCAGAGCCCCAGGAATGTGCCCCAAAGCCTGAGCACTCCACCACTGAGTGGTGCAACTCCAACCAAGCCTGAGCACACCCTCCACTGAGTGGTGCAACTCCAACCAAGCCTGAGCACGCACCCTGCTGAGTGGTGCAGCTCCAACCAAGCCTGAGCACTCCCTCCACTGAGTGGTGCAGCTCCAACCAAGCCTGAGCACTCCACCACTGAGTGGTGCA